TGTCAAACCATATTGTACCTCCTTTTTCTTCATCAAGTTCCTTTGAGACTAATTTCGTTTTTTCGTACCAGCTGAGACTGAAATATGTCACACAAGTGTGTGGTAAATTATATATTATATTTATAATCGTCAAACAAGCCCCTATAAAAACAGAAAGAATAGGTTAAATCTTCCAGAAACAACTCAAGGCGATAGAGTCGGAAGCGCACGTCCTCTGCTAATGCTTCGAGCCTTCTATGTTTCCAAACCAGCTGGGAATGATTTTTAAAACGTGTCGTTTCGTTATCTCTAGATTTTGGGTGAAGATACCAACTATCCAATAAAATAATTTGCAAACAAGGATATCTGAAAAGGGTTCGTCTCCTTTTGGTGCCTGCCTCACATTTCCAGAGCAAAACAACATACCAGTCATATATTTTTACTTTTCAAAGTGGAACAACAAGAAAAAAAATGAACTGTTCCTCCAGCTATCGAATTCAGACTGATCTGGCCACAAGATTCATCTACGTTCTTATCAACGTTTTTACTGCGTTGCTAGCCATCGTTGGCAACTTTTTCCTTCTCTTTGTAGTTTTCAAATCTTATCGTCTCCGAACAACATCCAATTACTTCCTATGTTCGCTAGCAGTAGCGGATTTTTTGGTTGGTCTAATCGCTTCACCGCTGAATATCCTACGAATAGAGCCCTCAATTCCAGCCAGTTATCTACCGGCAATCGGAAAGATTTTTGACTTCTGTGTATTACAAACCTTAATGGCGACAACATTCAACCTAGTACTAGTAAGTATTGACCGATATATTGCCATAAAATGGTCTTTACAGTACTTGACGATTTTGACGACGAAATTCGTTTCAGTAGCTATTGGGATCACTTGGACATCCTCGTCGTTACTAGCCTTCCCGGGTTTGTTTATCTACGGAGAAGGTTTGATGATCCACTGGCTGGTGACTGTACTGGTCACTCTAATCTTTCCGCTTGGGATTATTTGTTTCTGTTATGTGGAGATTTTAAAGATAACAAAGGCACAGCAAAAGACCCATGCTGTAGTACTACAGAGCGGAGAGCAAATATGTAACGAATCTGAAGCCCGCAACAATATCAAAAACCGGAAAGCTTCTTTAACCTTTGCAATTATAACTGTGGTATTTCTGGTTTCATTCGCGCCCAATTTGATCTGTAATGTATTTTACGCCTTTACGTTCCAGCCTTGTAGCAAGATACCTGAATACTTCTATTGGACAAATACAATAATGTTTATTAGTTCATCATTGAATCCACTGCTTTACGGTGCAAGAAGTCGCGACTTTCGACTTGCTTTTAAAAGGATAACCTCGAATTTTCGAGTCGGCAGCCATGGATAGATAAAGGACGGTCAAGAACCGGACGAACATCGTCATCATAATGAGAAACAATAGTGAAGAGAAGAGAATGTGCTTTCAAAATACGAAATCCTTGAAAGTATATAGCTAATGAAATAATGATAAATCATACAACAACATTAACAAAGTCAGCAGTAGCAACAACAATAAGGAAGAGATCAATAACGAAGCAGACAGCAAAAGTAATTACCGTGACTAAAAGTGGCATCAATTTGATAATATGAAGTATCAGAAAAGTGTCAAGAAGGGATTATGGACAACGATTGTAATCATAGATCTGAAGCAGAACAGCTGTACAGAGCCTTGATCAACGCTCAAAAAATGTTCAGTAAAGACTTTAATATAGGTACTTGGCCGAAAAGAGGAGACTACATGAAACTTGAAAAGCAGAAAAGAGCAGTTCAATCAAACCATTTTTTTTTAACATTTTCTGCAAAAAGAGTGGAAAAGACGAAAAGACAGAAAATAGTGAAATGATTACAAAACCATGAGAATGTAGGGATGATTGAAATCAAAGGACGGTTGGTTATTAAACAAAATTGGGCAATGAATTATGTAAAATTCATTTTGAAAATATATAGCATAGAGTAAGCTTACAAAGATTTAGCGACACAAAAATCCGCAAAACATCTTATACACCGTTTGTCAGTAATACTTCATACTCAGGCCAAAGTCCAAAGACCCTTTAGTTATAAAATCGCGCGAACTGTACAAAATAGTTTTTAAGGCTACTTTATGATAATATTACCAGCTGCGGGATTAATTTTTTCACTTGAAGATTCTCATTAAATATTCAATTCTACTATTGATGGCGACTGGAAAGTGGAAATATTTAAGAATAAAAGTGTCAAATTTTCTCTTTCTTCAGTATTATCTATTATTAAATTGTATAGCCAATGAAACTTATTCTCATTAATAATTTATGATTATGATATTTTTATTGACAATCGTAAAAATTAAAATTAAAAAATAAATAAATTCGAAAGTCTTATTTATCATACACCTATGACTTAATATGTCTCAATATTCGCTCAATATGTACATTTCCTATAGTCATTAAGAAGATTTCCGTCGTTTAAAGTGTCTTACCATTAGAGCTTGACTTTCTAATCGATGTACTTTATCATCTGTAAACATGACTAATATCGCAACATCTCAACTTTTAACAATCAATTTTTAACACGCTGACATTACTGAAAATGACTCCCCTTATTTTTTCTATTTTCTGTAAACTGAAAGAATACGCATGTGCAATCACCAGCAAAATATAAAACATGGAAGGGCACGTGCGATGCATAAGACTGAAATCGTTTTCGTCTTCCTTATTTTCGAGGTCATTTCGAAAGCTCTTTAAATGACTTGATAGCCGACTACCTTTAAAAGGAATACTGACAGCAACGCATTACATTTCCAAACTGATTATTGAACAACATTTCCGTAGAACAGCGGGGAACTATTTATCGTGAGGCTGAGTGTCCGCGACTAAAATTTTTTAAACATGATCTTTAGATTCTCAGTTTTAATAGGATGACAATGAAGATATCGACACAGTGTGTGATTAAATAAACATCGATAAATATGGCAGTGGGTAAAAAATTGCCGTGTATCATCCGCCAACGTATTGATTATTCTTTTGAGCTTGGTAATGCAAATTAAGGCATTAAAAAAAAGTGTTCAGAAAGCTGAAGATAAGATGTGTTAGGGTTTGAGATAGCTGAATTGCTCAATCCTTATCAAACGTTGTGAATAAGTTGAGTGTATAACTATATAAGATGCTTTTATATGGACTTTAGTCTTTAATCCACCAGCCAAAAGTTAAAAGCGATTCATTGACCTTGACCACGTACATCCCCCAAGAGAATATATAAAAACCAAAGGGTCCATGAGCTAACATCTTTGTTCGAAAACCCTAGAACGCATCTCAGGAAGTGACCACGATTTTATCCTATCCATTACAAAAATCCTCCCCCCCC